GGTTTACTTAGTAAAAAGTTGAGAAATAATTAAATGTTTTTTTGTAGTTTTGGTATAAGTGATCTACGGAAAGAGTTTGCATTGAATAATATATTTTATAAATTAATATTAAATAAAAGTCATACTGTTATCTATGAATTTTCATAGTAATATTGTTGTTTTTACAATGCCATACAGAGGAATGAAAGACACATTATATTTAACCTTGACATGCCTGATGAATACAAGTCTTCTGTTTATGCAAAGCACTTTTACTCACCAAAATATTTATAAACAAGCTACTGCTTTTGCATTATCTGATCCAAATTTATATATTCATCTTCTCCTTCAAGTTTTTGATCTAATAAAACAGAAAAATAAATGAAGGCTAAGTTTTTTTAGATTAAGAATTTGCCATTATAGATTGAATTAGCAAAAACTAATAAAATAAATTTATTTGAAAAACTTGCAGAACAGTTTTTCAAACAATTCTTTTATGATTCTTTGGACTAAAATCTTCTTGTTGTTAAAAATAAAATAACATTTATATATGATTCAAACTACTGCTCAAAGAAAGCTTTACATTTATCAAATTTTTATAATATTATACTTATATAACTATTTTTATTTTGTACTGTCTTGGGTTATTAATATAACCTTCATATTGATTTAATATATAACAATTTTTTTTTTTGTCTAATATTTATATAGAAAAATGCAAGCATCTATGTTACAAGAAAGTAACTATTTTGAAACATGTTTTAAAAATTGGCAAGAACATTGCATTGTTCTATGTGAAGCAGAATTTAAAAACAAGATAGAAAAAAGATCGATAAACATTTCCAAGAATGCTTTTAAGATTGATAAATATATCTTAATAAAGACTGAAAATGTAAAGTTAAGTAATCTATTTTTTGTTTTTTTATTTACTCCTTCCTACTTATTAATATTTTCCTAGACATTTATATTTATATGCTAACAAGGTTAAATTAATATGACATATTGATCAATGACTGCTCTTGATTTTTGTAATTAACATTACAGATATTAGTTTTACTAATGAAGAAACATATTTTGAAAATAAAGATCTTCTAGAAGAAATTAATTTTCCTTCTCAAGATGTAAATTTAAAGCAAAGATAAAGTTTTTTATAGTATTTATTCTATTAACTAACTTTATAAATGCTCTTTTTGTACTACTTATTTTAGATATCATTTTACAGAAATTTCTTTTGTGATAGTAACTACCATATCGCAAATATTCTTCTTGAGAATGTTAAAAATATAGGATAATATCAATATGATTAATTAGAAAAAACATATAACTCAAAGGCAATGTATATAGGAAATTCACACCTACTTCATAAAAATAACTGCTATAGATTATGTACTTTATGTAAAAATTTAAAGAATTTTTGTCTTGCATTTTTTATGAGTTATTTAAGCAATAATATGTAATTTTAGTGTTTTTATTAGATGTTATTCTTAAATTCTAAGATAATTTAAATTTGCTGAAAGCAGAGGCAGAAAAAGCAAAATTAAAAAATTTCATCATAGCATTTAAATAAAAAATAATCACTTCTAAAGATGAAAAAAGGATTTAGAATAATATTTGAAATTTATTAAAATAGTAATTCATTAGATGTTATATATTAACAGCTTAATTATAATCCAAGTATCAGAAAAACTTTTACATAAAATTTAAAATAGAAAATTGTGTTTTTAAACTAATTACATAATAATTATAAGTTTATAATTTAAAAAATAAAAAATTATATTTTTAAATTAATTGCCTAATGATTATGAGTTCATAATTTAAAAAATAGGAAATTATGTCTTTAAACTTATTGCCTAATGATTATAAGTTTATAATTTAAAAAATTCTATCTTTATTATAATATCTTCTTTGTGTTTAATATTCATCAGATGCTATTCAATAAATTTGAATAATACCAGAAGTACTACAGTTAGTAGTACATGCTAAGTAAATCAATGATATACTGTAAATTTATGCATTATAGTTTTTATGTATCATATACATAATTATGCCTTTTTATTTATTGTAAATAATACTGGATCTAAACTAATTATTATAGATATTGATTGTTGAAAGTGATCATGTATTGTTTAGGAAACTTATAACTAGAGATTAGACCCAGCATAAAACTTAAACATCAGACATTTACTTATTTGAATAACTCTGTTGGTCTGGCTAATTTGGTTGTTATATAAATAATTAATTGATGTTACTAACTTGGCATCTAAGCTTTAAAACTATATTATTTATATATAATTGTAAGCTACAGATTTGTTGCACTATAATAATAAATTATTTATATCTTATAAATTTACTAATTAACAGCTAGAAGGCCATTTTTAAACCAAAAATCATATATAAATAAAAATGAAACATTATTTTCTTCTATCTGAAAATTATTATATACTAGTACTTTATTTATTAAATATACAAATACACTGTTTACCTCTTATTTAATAGTTTTGTTTACATTAATAGAACTTAATAAAGTATTATAAATACCTTCTAATATTAGATCTGCAAGTTTAAATAAATCTTGATATAGTGCTATTAGCATTATTGATAGAGATCTCTCTTTAAACACATCCAAAGAGACCAAACTTCTAATAATATGTATTTAAAAAATGATAAGAAAAAGTGCATTAATAAGAGTCTAATATATATTTTTGAACTGAATTTAGAAGTGCAATTAGAGTTTAGAGAGAAAAGGAAGTATATTTAGGTAACTATTAATAAAAATTTTTATTATAGGATTTAATAAATTTTACTTAGAGAAAAGTGGTTTTTATAAATAAAAGGCAAATTTCAACTATGTAAAAGTGGTTTTTAGATAGTAAAGCAGTTTTTAAATTGTAAAAGTAAATTTTTTTTAAACATATTGAGTAAAAAACAGGTTTTATATATTTTAAATAATAAATGCAGATTTTACATTACTATTTCAGATTTTATCTAATTTAGCCAATTAATATGAGTTTTAATAGCTAGTTGCATGAGTTTTATCTTATCATAAAATAATTATAATTGTTCAAAGGAGTATAAAAAAAAAATTCTATTTTCAGTACTTTAACCAAGAGCCTTACAAGACTCAGATCCTAGCAGATAGCTTACTCTAGTTAGTCTCAAACATATAACCTATACTGCCTAGTAATATGCCTTATATTAGTAATCTATACTGGAAATATTACAAAATTTTAAATCTGTATTCTTTTTGAAGATCATTAGAATACTTCAAATATCCAATAAGATTATAGGATTTCTTATAATTTGCAATCATGCAATTTACAAATCTTTGCTATCTAAATTTATTAAATCAATTTCTAATTAATTTCTACATTTGGTAAATCAATTTCTAACTAATGTCTAATTTTGTTTCATTATTGTTTATTAAAAATTATAGTCTTTTGGTAACTTCTCTTTTTTTTTTTGTAAAACTTTAACATTATCATCATTAACAACAACAATTCTAATAAAAATAATAACAATAATGTCTTGTTAAAGTCTTTCTAAAAATGTTTGTCATGCTCACCAAAATAGCAATAATGCATTATATGAGGCCTTGAGAGTGGTTCAAGTTGAGAATAGGTGGTAAATATTATCTTTTAAAAATCTTCTTGTTTTCTCCTCTTTTCTTTTTTTGTTATTTAACAAAACTTGTTTATAGTTTACTTTGATTAGTGTTTTTGCAGAAAAGAAGAATACAAACTTTGAAAATGGAGTTGAAAGAGTTAAGGGTAAATGCAGTTACAAGGGTGCAAGATGGTTAGATGTTGAAGTAGCAGTATACTTAGTTGTTAGAGAAAAGAAACAGTTTGAAGGCAAGGTTAGCAAATAATAAAAAGAAGTTGAGAAGATTAAGGGCAGAAAAAAAAAGAAGTAAAGAAGATAATAATAATAAGAATAGAATGTTAGGTATTAGTTTTTAATTTACTATATATATATTATTATTATTTATATATATATATATATTTGTTTTGGGGGTGTGGGTCCCATAGCTTAGCGGTTAAGCTCCCATACCCTCCATAGTCAAGGTCAACAGTTCAAGTCCGGCTGGAGGCAAAATGAAAGATTTTAGCTTCTGTAACCTAATAAGGAGCCTGTAATTGAATACAAAGCCCTGTAGTTAAGTCCAAGTGCAGTACAATGATGAAAATAAAAATTCTCAGAAGGAGACCCAATCGTGGAGTGCAGGCACTATGTGTAACAAGTGGTTATTACAGAAGGTTACGATTATGAAAAGATTGCGCATGTAAGTCCTTTAGGCTAGGGCAATACCAACATCCTTATACCTCCCAATATAGGCAGTACCAACA